GCTGAAATATTTGTAGTTGGACAATAAATGTGACATGTAGAATTTTAAACCTACAAGTAAGTCTATTTTTATGATAGCACTGACTGTAACGTGACTGTAATGGGGTAATCAAAATAGCTTAAGACAACTCTGGGCTTTTGTTCTCATTTATTTTCATTTTTAGTGTAGTGAATTTAACTTCTGCTTTAAAAGCCTTATTTTTGTTTTTAGATTGCAATGTTACAATGTTACAATGAAATGTGATTTAACCCTTTTTTGCACATAGTATAAAGGCTTGCATGGTTACATTCACTTTATTTGTTTTCATAGCCTTTAATATGTATTGTTTTGTTGGACAACATTGGGCGGTAAGTGAAATATATATATATATATTAAATACAGATTTTTTTAATCCAAATAAAAAAACGAAAATACAGAGATAGGCCTATATGTATATCGTATATCGCAAATCGGCCAAAAAAAACAGAGATATGAATTTTTGCCCATATCGCCCAGCCCTACTAATTAGGCATACTAGAAACTTCCAGGCAGGTGTGTTGAGGCAAGTTGGAGCTAAACTCTGCAGGACACCGGCCCTCCAGGACAGAGTTTCGAGACCCCTGGACTAGTCTGTGGGTTATCTGAACAACTGATTGACTAGCTGATCTTAAAGGAGTAGTTCACTGAAACATTGAAATCTGTAATTATTTACTCTGCAGAACACAAAAGAAGATATTTTGAAGAACATTGGGGTCCAAATAATATTGACTTTCATTGTGTGGACAAAAATACTTTTTAAATAAACTGTCCCTTTAAGGATGTTCTGTATAATTAGACTGGCTTAGGACGATGTCTACCCAACCCGATCTGATGTGTTTCTTAGGGGGTGTTTGTATAAGATCCATTCTTGCGTTAGAAAACCGTTAGAGTGCAATAGAATGGAATACAAAGCAGAGGTCTCAAGACACGTTTTTTAAAGCTGAAGCGTTTTTAACTTGACACTTCATCTTAAATTGCTTTTGCATACATAGACCAGGTTTTAAAAAATAGACTGCAAGCAAGAACTTACAGCCTTTTATTGTGATAAATTATAGATGGCCAAGAAACATACAGTCTAAAAGGTATAACCTTTTACTGCACAAAACTACCATAGTCCTCTCAAAAAGCCTACAAATTACGAATAATAAGAGAAACATTGCTCAAAACAGATGATCAGAACAGACTATTTGAAGTCCGAGTGTAATTGTCTGGAAATGCATTGTTGAAGCGGTGGTTCTTTAAAAAGGATCAGTTTAGAGATGAGAGGGTTTTAGCAATTTCTACCCAATAAAATACTTTAGAGTTTGACATAACTACAAATATGTAATATTTACAGATATTTATCTACAAACATGTCTCCTGAATGTATGAAACTTGCTCACCTGTATTGACGTCAAAATGTGCAGTTTTAAGCAATATTTCAGCATTTACTAAATGGCATTTTTTGGCCGTGTTTCATGACCCTGCAGGAGTTTGGGTAGAGAAGCATGAAGAAGAGCATGGCCCATGTGCGTGACAGAAGCGTCAGATTGTGTTTTTCGGCGCGGGCCGCTGCACTGTGATTGGCTACCGAGAATCGGGAACGTCTCTGTAGGCTGTTCATCCATGCATGCATAATGCAAACTCCATTTGTCCGTACCCGAACACTCACACCGAATCAACTATGAATCTGTGCACGTGTGTGTTCGCACGTGACAAGAGTGACGCGAGAAGACTGACACAATGATGGCGGATCCAAAGCGCAACTTTTGTTAATAAAACTTTTATTTATTCGTTTAATAGCCTATGATGTGAGAATGCGAGATTTGTTGCTGCTGAGACGCTCTTGCTCTTTCTCTGCTGTCTGTAGAAATTGTTGTTAATTCTTAATTTGGGTACGGTAGAGACATGTTACAGGTTATAATATAATCCAAAAATCATGGCAACATACGATTTTTTAAGTCAGTTTAATAAGTTTAATCAGTTGAAATGACTTTCACAGTCAATTTGATTCAACTTAACTCATATTTAACCGTTGCTTCTTGTCATTGTAGGCTTAGGCTACTTTTTTCAATGGATTTTAATGAATATACTAATTAATAAAATGAATATTATTTATTTTTATTACATATTGTTCATTCATTTATTTTTAACACCGCACCCCCAGCACCCCCATTTTTTCGTGGGCTACACTCTAGGGGGTGCTGCAGCACCCTCAGCACCCCTACTTCCCGCGGTAATGATCACGGGTAAGTACAGTATGAAACCGCAAGTGTGTAAGGTTTCATAGGCTGCATATGTGCACACTTGTTTCCTTCGTGCACAGAGACCTGTGTATGCAGCTGCTGTCTTACAGTTCAAAGGGTTCTGCTTTCAGCAGCATGATTTCCGAATCGTCCAATCACGGCTGGGATAGCAACATCCACAGCCAATCAAACGCTCCCAGCACGCTCCTCTTCGTACCCTGTCTCATACCCAGCAACACTTGCTCTGGCAGAGTCTTTAGGTCATGGTATTGCAAACGTGCGGAAGCTTCACTATACCCTACGCTCGTTTTCTAAAAATATAGGGTGTATTTCATGCCGTCATGCTACATCTTTGGCTGTGCTGACAAAGATAGTACAGGAAGCCGAGGGTGGGGAGAGGCGAGTTGGGAAAATTGGGTTCCTGGATGGATTTGACGAACAGGAAATGACTGAAGCTAGTGTAACAATTATATTGCCTGTGGCAAACCGTAGAGTGGAGAAGTGCAGTGCGGACACACACACACACGAGAGAAACGCGCACACGTATGCATGATCGCCTCAGCAGTTTGTTACTTCCTTGTTTAAGAAAGAACCCCCTCCTTCCCTCCCCATTCCCAGCGGACCCCAGGGCTCTCAGTCTGTCTACAGGATAACAACATCTTATCTTCTCTGTTCTCCTCTCCTCTCCTCCCCCATCCCCAGCTCCTTCTCTCCTCCATCTCTCGCTCCCCCTCACCATCATCCCATCAGCATTTCCGCAGTGACTCCTCATTCTTGTGTAAGGTTTCATAGGCTGCATACGTGCACACTTGTTTCCTTCGTGCACAGAGACCTGTGTATGCAGCTGCTGTCTCACAGTTCAAAGGGTTCTGCTTTCAGCAGCATGATTTCCGAATGGTCCATCATGGTATTGCAAACGTGCGGAAGCTTCACTATACCCTACGCTCGTTTTCTAAAAATATAGGGTGTATTTCATGCCGTCATGCTACATCTTTGGCTGTGCTGACAAAGATAGTACAGGAAGCCGAGGGTGGGGAGAGGCGAGTTGGGAAAATTGGGTTCCTGGATGGATTTGACGAACAGGAAATGACTGAAGCTAGTGTAACAATTATATTGCCTATGGCAAACCGTAGAGTGGAGAAGTGCAGTGCGGACACACACACACACGAGAGAAACGCGCACACGTATGCATGATCGCCTCAGCAGTTTGTTACTTCCTTGTTTAAGAAAGAACCCCCTCCTTCCCTCCCCATTCCCAGCGGACCCCAGGGCTCTCAGTCTGTCTACAGGATAACAACATCTTATCTTCTCTGTTCTCCTCTCCTCTCCTCCCCCATCCCCAGCTCCTTCTCTCCTCCATCTCTCGCTCCCCCTCACCATCATCCCATCAGCATTTCCGCAGTGACTCCTCATTCTTACCCTCCGCTTTTATCTCTTAGTCACTTTCTTCGTTCCACCATCCCGCGTTCCCTCGTTCCGCTAACAGTGAAAGGCAAGAGGGCGGGTTTCTCTCCTCCTTTGTCCTCGTTTTTCTGTCTTACCACTTTCATATTTTATCGTGTCATGTTTTTTTCTTGATTTGCAGTATTTATGTAGCTGCTGCGTCAGAGAGATGCATTAACGCACGATGGCTGACGAAGGCGTTCGTCATACCATTCAAATATAGAAAGGTTGATCTAGATTCTCCTAGGCCTGTAAATGTTAAATCCAGTTTTCCACCTGCCAGTGTAACCTGTGACTGACACCTTTGATGTATATAAACATCGATGCACAAGCTAATTATGTACTGAAACTGTTTGCAGGATCTCTATAATTACGCCGCAACACTCTTGATTTGTCATTGAAAACAAAGGTTATTGGGTTCACGAACACCATTTTGTACACAAGCCACCAAATTGGACTAAAAGAAAAGACTGTTTCTAAATTAAGATCCCCCCCTCGTCTTTTTG